TATATATATATATATACACGTGCGACGATGGCTCGTGTCGGCCAATTGCGACTGCTGTAATCGAGGATGGCCACGACCATTCTTGTGAGCACGGTGTTAGCAGATTTTTGTAACACGTTCACCGTTCCGTTGTTGCTTTTTATGCGGTTAAATGTCGGTGCTCTCGGCTCCTTATGTTCCTCAGTTCCGTGTCCTTGTATTTTGGTGATTGCCATGGGTTGGCGCCCATTTAATTGTGGCAGCACCAGCAGGCGAATGAACTGTAATCGCACGGGTGTTAGCTGACTGCAGTGCTTGGAAATGAGGGGGCCTGCTCGTTTAGGTGAGCAAAGGCGCAGAATCTACTGCACCGTAGATTCAACACTCTCTCGGGCATCTAAATCTAAATAAAGCCTTTGGCATCAGAAACTGCTGTAGCCACAGCTGGTGCAAGAAATCTAGACTTAGAAGCCTCGCCTAGAGTGTCCGAATGCCTTGAAGTGTTCGACGTTTGGGAGGTGCCTTTGGAGGAGCTCGAGGGCGATGCCTGCATCGAGGCCGTGACTTCCGAGACCGAGGAGGCCAAGCGAGCCCAAACCTCAGTCGGAAGGCCCGGGAGCGGCTTAAGCTACCTGAGGAGGTACAAGCGGAGCAACATGGAGCATGAACAGAAGGAAGGGGAGAAGGAAAGAGATTTTGCATGATTTTGCAAACGGATAAACGCACCCAGCTCCGGCTCTTTGCTGCAAAGTCTTCCGGGCGGTCGATAATTGCCCACTCCTTCTTACAGAGTTTTTGGGCACGAGCTGTTGCATACGGCTTGGACATGAGCTGCGGAGAAATTCCGGATGTGTGAAGATGTTCACTGCGTCTGAGATCTGCTCCCACTGATAGCAGCCCGTGCCATCAGTTCGACCTAACTATGGCAATTAAAATGCCGGTTTGCTGCGTGCTGCGAGACTCGGTTGAGACACCTGCCACCCTCCGGACATCCTGCGAGGTAAAAAACCTCGGCCGGTTTGGTCACGACGTGTATCTGAGACGCTTGGATGCCATTGTTCATGCCAGCTGCTGGCCTGTACCACCAATATTATTGCACCGTCAGGCGTGTTCCGACGAATCGCGCCTTTGAGCGATGGCGGCGAGAGATAGACATGGTAGCGAGGTCAAGCAAAAGGACGTTGCATGTCTGAGTTCAAATTAATCCCCTCGATTGATTTAGATTTCAGGCCCGGGCAGGGTTGATCGACTATTGAGGGGGGTGTCCCAGTACTACTACGCTCGCTGACTCTCTCTGCGACTCTCGGAAGGCTGACAAACGGGCCTCAGGTGTTCCTTTCCGAACCGGTGACGGGATCATCGTTGGGTTTTCGCGATCGAGCTTTAACATTGAGGGGTTGATCATGGAGTTTCCGGGATCGAACGAAAAAATTCGAAGGGGGGTTTTGCTAAGATGCCTTCAATTGACACCCAGCTGACGTTCATTCCTGCAAGCCTTCGGCGGAGAGGCTCAGGAGTGCAAGGTTTGCCAAATTAGATTTGCAATTCACACATGAACAGCAATGGTGGGGGTGCACCCGTCGCCTCCACACTGTGCTTGGGAGCGTTGCTGCCTTTGGTACATGGCTGGCGCGGCTCTATGCCGGACATTGCTAGCAGCTCACTTGGCGACGAAGGCGGTCGAATGCAGTGACAGGTCACTAATACTCGGCGACGTAGACACGCAGAAGAGTCCTTGCTGCAGGGTCATTGCTTGGACTTGAGAGCGCCCTGAGTGGAGGTGTTGTGGAGACCTTGACTCACAAGCGCTTGGTTGCGGTTATCTATCCAGCCATGACTGTCGCGGCTCTTCTCTTTGCCGTTCTGCTAGCGACTGCTCTGCGAAATACGGAAGAGCAGACGGCGCAGAAGGCTAGAACAACATTGAAGGCAGACCCGCAACATGTGTCTGCACTGCAGAGGTGATACCCAGCGTCACTGTCAGTTGCTGCTTGTCTTGCCATGCCGCTCCCCACTGACAGGGCAACAAGCTGCTGCAAAGGGCTGGCACTTTTCACGCCGTGAAGCAGCTCAACCCAGAGACGACATTTCTTGACGATTTCAAGTCTGCCTTGGCCCAAGGCTCTTTGGGATCCCGAAGCTTCAGAAAGCTGCCCGTGAACAGATTTCCAGCTGCCAAGGCTTTCACTTGGAAGCGACTGGCCGTCTTCGCCTTTGCGATTTTCCTTGGCCTAGCTGTGGCACTTTTCGCGGACCGCCATCTCTTCGCTATTGGAAAGTAACTGGGCTTGTTTTGAGATTCCGCTGTCAACTAGATTTCCTCGCTAAAGTAGAGTCACTCAGTAGAAGTAGAAGAAAGGTGTCTGCCGTGAGCGTCTGACATGCGCGACCCAGGAGCGTTTCAGGCATCGCATCGGCAGAAGTCTGCCAAGCTGTGTGTTCGGCGGACCCTTTGGCGTGCTTCGGCTCAGCGACGAGAGTGTTTGCGAAGCAAAGTTGCAAGGGATTGAAAGAGCTCTCAAGGGATTATCAACACGAGACTGGATGCAACAAGAGGAGGGGCCGGGCAGGTGGGCGACGGAAACCCAAACGAAGCAACATGTGCGGAATCAGGACCTTTTCACCAGGCCTCAGACGCGGCACCTTGCAACCCAGCAAATTGCTGTCGGAAAGCACGGAGCACTCAGCTAGAGCGTTTTAAGCTGCTAGTCGGCGGCAATAGTCAGAAGCCGGTCTTCAGGGCAGCAGTCGCAAGGCTTGTGAAGAAAAGGTCAGCCACTCGAAGCTCTCAGCGGAAAACTTCGCTCGTTGTGGGTGTGTACGGATGACAAGCAGCAGGTACAACAGGGAGCTTTCTGGTAAGGTGGCGGTTCTTTGAAGATAGATGCGCAAAATGATGGTACTGTACTTCAGATCTCCAGAAATAGCACCACGGAAACAGTAAGTCAGGGCCAAATTGTCAAATTGTAAGACGTCAA